CAAGTGCTCACTATCCAGGAGCGATGGCGATTCGAATCGATTCCTAACCAGCTGGTGATTTATTCCTTACACAAACCTCACTCACCCGCTAAAGTGAGATATTGATCACCGAGTCAACTTTCCAGGTATCTCGAGTTTGCCAGGAACCACATGTACCCGGAGGCCGACCGACTGCACTTTGGTCTTATCATCCCGCCCCCGTGTCCTACCACACCTGCTCACCCAAGACAAGGCGTGCGGGCAATCTACTCGGCCCGAAAATCTCCCACTTCATGGTCGGAAGGTACTTTATCCGGCCAGCTAAATGTAAGGCATCGTTCAACATGACTCGAGACCCAACAACGGTCGGTCCTTAATCGACAGAGGAAAACACTACAGTCCAAAACTCGCAAGTCTCCGTCCGTTCTCAACTTCATTTAACACTTAGTTATACCATGACTTCATAGTCATCCAAGCAGATCCGGTAACCACCTATAGCTCGCAGGTGACAGGAAATCACCCGACTTCTACCGGTCTAAGCCAGCTAAGCATTGACTCGACTACGGATACCAGGGTAACAAGGATATAGTATAACAAAGGTAAACAAGGTATAATACAAAGAACGGTTGCAAACAACTCCTGAACGTAATGCATCAATTAAAGTAAAGCATTTAATTAAATCATTGCAAACCGGGAGAAAAATGCTCGGGGCTTGCCTCTCGAAGGAGCTCGGGACGCGGTGATCGTGGCACTCTGGAAGTTCCTCAACGTCCTCCTCGTCGGCTTCGGGCACTTCCTGCGGCTGCACCTCGAACTGCTCCTCGGGATCCTCGGTTATGACGACTGGGTTCTCGGTTTGCGATCCTGTATGATGCAATGTGCGTAAGTGCTTATGCAATCGGTGCATCGGATGAGATGAATACAATGGATATGTTGGAATGCAAGGTAGTCAACATCATCCAAGAAAATATACTACAAGCACATGTCATCTACTGCATTCTCTTCTACTGCTAATATGTTAAGTCAACACATCTTATTAAATGCTTCAACGATACACCAAAGCTAACATTATTAACTAACTTGCATTAAAGAGGATTATTTTATTTCATTTTAAACTAGGGCTACAACAGCAACCTATGTTTCTGGTGCTTATAAAAATCTAAGAAAATTACAGTAGCATAGTACTACTCTAAATAGACTACCATAAAATTTTCATGGCGTTTGGATAAGTAAAATAGTCTACACAAAAATGACAGGGCATGGCAGAATTATGAACATAAAAATACTTTGAACTGTGAAAAGTGTCAAACAATAGAGTTAGTATTTTTCCTAGGTGCTTCATAGCATACAATGACTGTACAAAAATTATCACATGCATGTTTTATACAAAGTTTGCTCTCTAGCTAAAATAACAAAAATCAGCCATTAAAGGTACTTGAACTACACCAAAAAAATTTTCCACAGCTCATGCATGAAACATATTTTTCCTAGAAAACACATTACATAAGATTAACAAACTTGGAATCATATTTTTCTGAAGTCTATAGATTTTTCTACATATTTTTTAAGTTATCAGCAATATACATGATTAAATAAAGTTCTATAGAAAAGTATCTCAAAAATGACATGCAATAATTTTTCCAAGTAGATCTGGTGATAAGGAACCTAGCAAAATTTGTTTCAACAAATTTGGAGCAAATTTGAGTACCCAAACATTTTCCAGCCCATTTCTATTTTCAAATAATAAAGAGAAATTGAAAACGAATTATTTCTACTCCTACTGGGCCGGCCCGTGGAAACGAACTGGCCCACGGCCACAACCGGCCTGCTCAGCCCGAGCGAAGGGGCGAGCAGCGGCCTGGCTCAGGGTTCGGCCCACGGCCATCGTGGCCCAGCATCGGCCGAGGCGAGACGCCACGCTTACGTCGGCGGCCAGGCACCACGGCGGCGCGGCATACCCGCGGGCGGGCGCTTTCTGGCCACAGCAAGCCACGGGAAGGCGCGCACAAGGGTCGCGGGGGCAGAGCGGTGCAGATGCGCGAGAAAAGGATGACAGGGTTGGAGCGGGTCGCCTGCGCGGGCACGAGCTCCGGCGAGCTTGCCGCGGCGGAGCGGAGAAGAAATCGGCCACCACGGCCTCTCACCTCGTCTACGGCAGCCACACGCGGGCGCAACCGAAGAGCTTGACGAGGCGGAGCAGCCGGCGGGAGGAATCGGGGAATGAGGCGCGGGAGGAGGAGCAAATCACCGGCGGAGCGACAGCGGCGCTCGGTGGCGAAGCTCGCTATGCGCGGGAGGAGCTGCTGCGGCTGGCTGAGTGGGGAGTGCTGCGCTCGGACAGCTTGAATGCGGAGCTGCGGTGGCGTGATATCGGCGAGGCGCGCGTGCTTGCGGGGGCCACGGGACGCCACCCGGCCGGCGTCGCCGGCATGCGCTCGCCACGCGGCGCGGCGTGCCTGACGCGGTCGGGCGCGGCGCGCGGGAGGAGAAGACGGCGCGCAGGAGGACTGGGCCACGGCGATCGAGCTGGGCGAGGCGAAGGCGGGGATGCGGGGTGGATGCTGGGCCGGCTTCGGCAGGCGGTCCAGAAGCGAGGCGGTGGCCCGCGAAGAAAAAAAATACTTTTCCAAATATAGTATCAAGGAATTTTTACATGCCATCTTTCAAATATTATTTTGAGCAAGAAAATGACATCTTTTGAAAATAGTCCAAAAATGAAAGTTGCTTAGAATTTAATTCTCTACAACTTTGCTTTTAAGACCAAAGCCAAATTCTTTCTAGATTTTGAATTGTAAGATCAAAGTCCACGTTTTAGCTCAAAACCCTAATTTTGGGGAATTTATTTTTGAAGCCAAATTTCGAATTAATTTGAATACAACCTTGCTCCAAAAATTTGAACTAAACAATCCTAGATGATTTACAATAGTAGCCAACCATGTTTTACTAACCTAGCAAGCAAAATCAGGGCAAAACAAGTCTAACAAAGGTATGCAACATTCAGGTTTCACAACGTGTTTCAAATGTTTCGAAGCAGTGTTTCAATTGTTATTTACATGATTAGGCATGTGTGATTAGAATGCTTGATGATGCATGATATGCATGATTTGCAGTGACTAAATGCAGGCATAACACAGGGGTGTTACAAAGAGGCCGCAACCAAGATAGCAAAACAAGAAAAACGGCGCTTCAACGAGATGGTCATCTACACGCTATGGAACATATGGAAGGAAAGAAACAGGAGAATTTTTAACAACGCCAACGAGTCGGCAATGCAAGTGGCGTTAAGGGTAAAAGAGGATATCGAGCAAAGAAAGATGGCTTTAGCTTGGGGAGGGGGCAATATCGCGGGAGGCATCGTGTAATCCTAATGGGGGCAATGCCCCTCTTGCACTGTACGTAAACTTTTTACCCTTCTTAAGGCAGAGCTCCTGCCATTACCTTAAAAAAATAATGTCTCTATCCCTTGGGATCAAATCTGGTGGATTCTTTAAAGATCGTTTTAACAGTGTGTAATGCTAGCATTGATGCCATGATGCTGTGTAATGCAGCAGCAAATTGCAGAGCCAAAAGATATACCTATGAAATTTGTACTTATAACAAGCTGTGGGGTTTGTTTCTCTAAATTTACTTATATCATGAGGATTTATGTGTAACCTTTTGTAGTCAAGCATTACTTGCCAAAAAAATTTAATAGCTGTGGAATGAGTGTATAGGACCCACACAAATGGAAAATGAGAATGGCGTGTATTACTTTGCTGGGTTACTCCACTTGGTGACAAGTCGATTAGATAGCAGTGTCTTCATGCAGCTCCAACCAGTGTACCAGTCCTTCCCATAACTCTGTTTTGCTTTACTTTTATTTCGACTGATTAAAATGAAAAGTAGCTACTTAGTAACCGTCAAACATAGCAGGAGTATCAAAACAGCAGGAATTCACTGAGAAAGAGTACCCAATCGCGTCTCGTGACAGTCCACTGGCTTCAGCAGCATCAATAAGCTCTTGTTTCATCATAAAATCTTTCCCGCTAGCCTTCTCCGCACTTATATTCATGCGCAACACTAAAATAACCACTGGCGATCTCAAAGAAAAAGTCTAGGCCCTGACACCTCTTATCTCCTCCCCTTACATTAACAGCCTCGACGGCTCTCCACAGGAAACAAACGGGCCTCCGATCCACTGGCCAGACGCGGCAATTTTCTAGTGGGAACATAGCCTCTAGCTAAGTTTGTATTAGAACATTCCTAAGGAATTAGGAACAATCTCCAAAAAAAAGGAATAATTGACAGGACGCAAGAATTCCACAGCAGAAGTTCAGAACCATGTTCAGTGCCCACCATAGCACTCAACAATGTCCAAAACTGCAAAAGTTCAAAACAATAGCACCCTACAGCTGAAACAGTGTCCATAACTGCAAATGTTCAGAACCATAGCACCCTACAGCTGAAACAGAGTCAATAACTGCAAAAGTTCAGAATCATAACACCCAACAACTCCAATGCCCAAAAGTGCAAAACTTCAAAATCAGATCGTAAGAAGATTGCTATGCAGGTTGGAGCATAGCAAGTCCAACAACAGAAGCACCAGTTCTCAAGTAGTATTGCCCCTATGCAAGGAAACATACTCTGTCTCTCAACTTCTCTATTTTAACTTCTCCTTTGGAAGTTTCTCTTCGAGTTTATCTCTGAGCCCCAAAATAAGAGAATCAAGTTCATTTGTCGCATTACGAATATCATCTAATTGAGACTTGACAGCCCGTTCTTCTTCCAAGATAATACTTGCTCTCAGTGCCATCTCCGGCAAAGGAGAATTTGGATGAAGAATGCCTGTAAGATTCTTACTGCATAGAAGAAGCCACATATTATACGCTGTCAACAAAGTCACCTGTTTCTTGTCAATGTCAACCAGCTGACTTAAGTTGCCATGTTTGAAGTCAGCAATTGCTTGATGAGGTTCTGCCATAGTAGTAATGAGGAGAGTACCCATGAGGTTACGAGAAATTGTCTGTCTCCTTGGACCAAAATCATCTATAACTGCTGCCATCATAGGCTCTTGTCAGGATCTGTCTATCAATTGCTATCCGTAGGCCTAGTGTTCCGGTACCAAGACTTGCAGCAGAGATCATAGTTTCATGGCCTTCTCTTCTAGATCCCGTGGCATTGCCTCTTTTCCATGCCATTACAGATGGGATGCCTCGCATCATGGTACTCACCACGAAAACTGAATCTCTGCCACCAGAAGCAATTTCCTTGATTCCATGAAGAATTGTCGAAGTATTGACCAGGCATCCAGGTATGGCTAAAAGAAATGCCACCCTCTTCTCCTTCTCTTCCTCCTCTTCCTTTTTCTTCTTCTCCTCCTCCTTCTTCCAGATCACAGCATCCTCAGGGCTAAGGGCTTTCTCTTCCTCTAAAGCCTTCTGCTCATCATTCCTTTTGTGTTCAGTAGCTTCATTCTCTTCTGCAGCTCTCCTTTCCTTCTCTGCCTTATCAACAATCTTCACACCAAATCCACCAAAGATTTTTGCTAAGCCACCACCAATAGTAGCCATAGAATTGGCAAGTTTTTCAAACTCAGAAGCAAAGTCGACTTTCCTGAAATTTAAAATGAAACTAGTCGGTCAACAGACATAGCCATCAAAGAGCATTAGTTGGACTTGTCAAATCAATAAGCAGCACGATTACAACGACTGCAACAGCCAAAAAGAATATAAGAGTACTCTAAAACCTAGTTTCAACTAGTCAGTCAACCAACAGAGAGCATTTAGTTACACTTGTCAACTCAATAAGTAGCAAAATTAGGCCTCCTCTAAAAGTAAGAGATAAATCTATCTCTAATGTACCATGTCATCACTTTTTATCAACAATGTAGTACCAATTACGTGGACCCCTACAAGTATATGTTATTTTATTATTTCATAAAAAGAGACGAGAGACATCTCACTTGATTGGCCCCACAATTATGCCTGGGAGTTTATGTAAGGCTATCTCACTACTTCTCTCCTCCACATCAGGAAAATTTAAATAAGAGCTAGCTTCTTAGAACAAACAATAAACAAGAATTTAACAGTACTACTTCTTAGAAAGTAATAGCCCTCTCACACACAGTTTGTGCAAGATGAAAAACTAACAGCAAACTAGACGAACAAAACCATAATCCCCAGTTGCCAACGATGCAGAATTTATAGCAACCGCGCACAAGATGAAAAACTAACAGCAACTGGTACCTAGCCATGGATTGCCACAACTAATGTTAGGCAAGTGTGGCTAAGAAATGGCAAGCCACACTTTGTGCCGTGCCTAAGAAAATCTTGCCACACTTTTTCACTCTACTATGACATGTGGAACCCAAAAGAATCTTGCCTAAACCTAGTTGCAAACTAAACACTTTTGCCAATTTGGTCAAACATGCCTAAGGTCAGGTGTGGCAAAGTGTGGCTAGGGACCAAACACCCAGTCCTCATTACGAGCAAGGCAGCACATATTCTGGCTAACATAACTGACACGATAGCGACTTCAATCCCCACTGAGAGTAAAACACGTAATCATCAGCTTCTAGATGAAATCATCTAGTGATTACCTATCCTGCAACCACGGCAATCTAGCATATATTCTTATAGGTATCCTGAACCACAGTAGCCAGCAAATTCACCACCAAACCTACGAAATTACCAAATTATCTCTTCGTGTTGTGACGGTCTGGTCCCTCCGCGGCTGTGGCGGCCCTCCTCGTAGCAGTCATGGTCCGCACTAGGGCTGGAGCTGGACACGGGACCTCGGATGTCATGGGGGCCGTGCGCTTCGGTGCACCCGTGGCGGTGGCGCGGGCCACAGGTACGTCAGACGCGCCTACTGCTCGGGCGAGCGCGGCTGCCTTCGCGGCCCCGGTACGCCGCCAGATCTGGGCCGACGTGGAGGAAGCGATGGCTGCAGCGCCTCCTGGCTCTCCGCGCACACCTCCATTGGCCCGAGGGTTCTGCGGTTGTTGTGGGGCGCCAGCAGTCGAAGGAGCGGGGGCCGTAGGAGAGGCGGCGGGCACAGAGGTGGCAGTCGAGGAGGCCGCTGACCGAGAGGTGGTGGTCGTCGAGGAGACTGTGGACCGAGAGGTGGCCGTTGAGGGGGCGATGGCCCGCGCGGTGGTCGTCGGAGAGGATGCGGTGCTCCGAGAGGTAGCGGTGGCGGGTGCTACGTCTCTTGGCCCGTCATCCTCGTCCTCCATGGCGGGAGGCAGGGGCGGCCGTGGTGGGCCGAAGCCAGCGGTTGCCATTGGAGCGGACGCCTTCACGGGGGAGGCGGCGAACGAAGCGGTAACCGTCGGGGAGGCGGCGGCGGTTTCGATCCCCAAGGGAGAGGGGGCTCGCGATCGTGACAACGGTTACGATTTCGAGATGGCATCCATCCCCACGAGTCGGTGACATTTTGTGGGGTCTACCGACGATGAGACGGCTGTAAAACCACCGCACTCCGGTTGGGCTCGGGTGATCCCGGCGGTTCAGATTCGCTCCAATTCCATTTGGATTGGAGGGGGGAATCAAATTCCTACCAATGCAGAAGGGATTATTGGGCAACAAGCCAAGAACCCTCTCCCCGGGCGAACGCCAGAGGCGGCACGGACCTTGCCTGCTGGGGGAATTTTTTATATTTTCAGTCCTTTTTATTTAATATTTTAATAATAATTGCACCTAAATTTTTTTTTGCGGATATGACCCTTTTGATGGCGTCGGTGCCGCTACCGCGACCAAATAACGCTGTCGCGCCACATGCATTGGTGCGATAACACCTGCCATGTTAAACAATGTTTCTGACGTGGAAACCCTTGTCGCGCCACTCCCGTTGGCGCGACAGTATTGTTCTGTCGCGCCAACCGGAGTGGTGTGTCAAGGCTCAAACTTAGAAAAATCATAATTCTTCAATACGACGTCGGATGAAGATGATTTTTATATGAAAATTATAGATCTCGACGATATCTACAACTTTCTAGTTTTTAGTTTTTTCATTTGAGAAAGTTAAGATGCTCAAAAAAATTATATAAATTTTCAGCAGCATAATAATCGCGTACTATCTCTTGTCGCATTAGAAAAATAGTATATTCTTTGTATAGTGTCCAATAAAGATACTTTTCACCAAAGTTGTAACTCTCAATAAGATTTATAACTTTGTAGTTTTGAGTTTTTACATTTGAGGTCGTTAAGATGCTCGAAAAAATAAATATAAAATTTTAGCAGTATACCTGGGCTGAAATTTTATATTATTTTATCGAGTATCTTAACGACTTCAAATGTAAAAACTCAAAACTATAGAGTTATAGATTTCATTGAGAGCTACAACTTTGGTATAAAAGGAATCTTAATTTGACACCATACAAAGAGGATACTATTTTTCTAATGTGACAAGCGATAGTACGTGATTATTATGTAGCTGAAATTTTATATAATTGTTTTGACCATCTTAACATCCTCAAATGGGAAAACTCAAAATTAGAAAGTTTTAGATCTCGTCGAGATCTATAATTTTCATATAAAAATCATCTTCATCCGATGTCGTCTCGAAGAGTTATGATTTTTCTAAGTTTGAGCCTTGTCATGCCACTCCCGGTGGCGCGACAGAACAATTAGCCCTGAGCAAATTTTATCGAGAACCGAACCGAACTAACCGAGAACCGAACCGAACTAACCGAGAACCGAAATTTCGGTTACCTGTTCGGTTCTCAGTTCTTAGGAACCGAACTTTGTTCGGTTATATCGGTTCCTCCCCTCGGTTAACCGAAATAACCAAAGAACCGAACTTTTTTCTGATGTCTGAGCTTGAGGAGAACATTGACCAAGAGATCAGTAATTGGATTGTGAACTTGTGATTTGTGAATACGCTGATGTGTTGGTTGTGGTTATTTGGTTGTGACTTATTGATTTGCATATGTTGCCATGTCATTTATGCCTTGAAAACAGCCAAAATGCTGCTGAATTTTTCTACTGTAACCTGTTCAATAATTGGTCGGTTAGTTCGGTTGGAACCGAGAACCGAAGCGAACTAACCGAAACCGAACTTGGTCAGTACCGAGTTTTTTGAAGAACTGATCGGTACCGAGTTTCCTGGGAACCGAACTTCTTCAAAAACTGAAGAATCGATCGGTTCGGTTCGGTAAAACCGAACGCCGTGGCCTAAGAACAATACTCTCGCACCAACGAGAATGGCGCGACTAGGTTTTACACGTCGGAAATGTTGTCTAACGTGGCAGGTGTTGTCATGCCAATACATGTGGCGTGACAGCGTTGTTTGGTCGCGCCAGCGGCACCGGCGCGACCAAAAGGGTTAGATCTGCAAATTTTTTCAGGTGCGATTATTATTAAAATATTAAATAAAAAAGGATTAAAAATAAAAATTCTCCCCTGCTGGGTGGAGGGGGATTCAGGATTCTCATGTGGATTACAGAAGAAGCAGAAGCTAGGCTGTTTTTTTTTTGACAACAAACACATTTTTATTTCAATAGCATCTAGCTGTTAATACCATTACAGATTCAATGGTGTACGTGAGGTAAGGGGGTGTTTGGTTGCTCCTCCTAAACTTTAGTCGTTGTCCCATCAGATGTTTGGACATATGCATAGAGTATTAAATATAGATTAATTACGAAACTAATTGCATAGTTTGCGACTAATTTGCGAGACGAATCTTTTAAGCCTAATTAGTCCATGATTTGATAATGTGGTGCTGTAGTAAACATGTGCTAATGACGGATTGATGAGGCTTAATAAATTCGTCTCGTGGAGTACTGACAGATTCTGTAATTTGTTTTTTTATTAGTATCCGAACACCCCATACGACACCCTCATGTAACACCTTCTAAATTTTAGTCACGGGATCAAACACCCCCTAGGTTTAGGTTTGAACAGATACATGCATCAGCTGGAGCCATGTGCATGGATTGAAAGTCTAGAAACGCCTGCCGTGCAAGAGTATGGGCAGTTTGGTTTAGGCTTCTTTCTATCTTGAATGTCCCTGTAGTTCTCTGTTGAGTATGGTTGACGAAGAGTTGTGTCAGATGTTTGATTCTCCAATCCGGAGGGTTGGAGTAGTCAGACGAATTGAAAAATTCAACCAGAAGCTCCTGGTTATCGGATAGGAAGCTTGTGTGGTGTAACTGTAGCCGATCAGTAATCACTGCCGCCAGTGCCAGAGCCGCCGCCTCAGCCATCAAGAGACTGAGTCCAACATGGCCGCCTTGATGTAGATGTTTTGCGTCGGCTGTACCTGGGTATTGATAATGAAGATTCCAATTCCAGCTTTTCTAGGAGTGGACGGTACCTGATCCGGCATAGTCGAAGCATCTGTGAAGCATCGAGATCCTTGTAGCAATGCTGGAAGCGAGACATTGAATCTATGTATGGAACTTGAGATTTGCCTGTACGCCTGTGTTGTTGAGGATCCAATTCCTGCAATGAAGTCATTCATACCTGAACGTGCGACTTGCATTGTGTTGTGCAGTGACTGCTGGTTCATGTATTCCTGCTGTGTGATGGTGTCAACTGCATCAGTTCCTGCAATAGTAGAAGGAGTACCTTGCCTTGAACAGTTCAGGTTGCTATGATGTTCCAGCTGTGGATTGTTGGCCGGGATGATGGTGGTGGCATCGGCTTCTTCCATGTTGGCGTTGGAGTTTCCTTGCTGTGCCTGTTCATCTGGTGCCACCGTTTCGGAGTTGGTGGTCGTGATATAAGCAGCGACTGCATGGTGTACCTGCCAGGCAGTCTGGGGAGCAGAGGCTGGATTGGAGCTGAGATGGAGCACACGCACTTGGGTAGGAGCAGAGCAATCAGGTGGCCCAGCTATGGACAAGGCTGCACTCGCACATGCTGG